TTACACTAGGTCTTGAAAGAATACAGTTGATTTGTTCATAGTCCAGCTGCCTTTCCCAGAACTTGCCGACTCTCCATGCTCACCAAGTGGATGGAGAAGCAGAGCCAGTGTGCTCTAGTGAGTTCTGCTCTGGCTTGTCACTGTATGTGACAAGGGCCTCAGTTTCCTTATCTGTGATACCATGGCATCATCAGCTTCATAAGCTGGGCAACTTTACTATTGTTCACAAACGCTAGCACCAGTTACCTGGCTATTCTAACAACCACATGAAATGAAGACAGCAGGTGCACTGTCAACGTTCCCTGAGTGTTTTTGTGTGGTAGGGGGAGACAAGGGAGTTAGGTCTTTGTGTTGCCATGCAGAATGAGGGAGATTGCAAGGTAGGAAATTTTAGAGCCAAGGTAGTCTAATCAGACAACTGGAGCAAGTCACTTTAATGTCTCAGCCTTGGCATCTTCCAATGCCCAGCTAGATCATTGTTGTGGTCTTCTGACACCTAATCTAAAAATATTTAGTGACAATGAAATTAATCGAAACTTCAAACCATCTCACTTCCAGGCCTGGGATGAACTGGCACACTAAAATTATTGTTAGAGCACTGAAATATTTTTATGCATTTCTGCACCTCCAATAAAGAGCCCCTGCTCTGAGTCTCACTGGTACCCAGCTCCCAACCCCCTGGCCACCCTTGGATTTTGGCAATCAGAGTGACCTGACACAGCTGGCCTTGGGCTCCTGCAGGGCCTTGCACCAGCAGGAGAGCTGGTTGATTGGTCCTGGCCCAGGCCACAACAGATACTTCACGGATCATGCTAAGGCCCATCCTAATGCACTGGGCTTCATCAGCAGCAAAGAGAAACCCCACTGTATGCCCAGCACCACTTAAAAACCTCTGTGATTACAAGAAAATGAGTTCACATCCTAACATGACCTCCCCATGCCAAAATTTTGCTCAACAAGATGGCAACTGAAAAAAAGTTCAAAGGAGTTTGAGACAATGCACTTTCCATTCATTTCTATAAGATCTGGTAAACATATTTATCTCCCATAAAATAGGCATCAAGTGGAATTCTTATACTAATGTGGGGAGATGTCTAACATATGACAAGCAAATGAAGCAAATGCAGATGTGTGCATACATTAAAACATACATATAATGCATTTTGTAAATACATACATATAGTTTATATGTGTGTACCTATCCATATAGGTAAATTATAAAAATAAACTGATTACTGGTCACGGGTATAGCACCGGCATGTAGTGGATATGGCTGCTAATTTCAGTCTGTACAGTGTAAGTCTGATGGAGAGAGACTGATGGGGAAAGGGCAGGGTTGCAGATAAGAGACACATAGAGAGGTAGAGATACAGAGAGAAAAACTAAAACAAGCAGGCATAGCAGTGCACTACTGTAATTCTACCTACTCAGGAGGCTGAGACAGGATGATCACAAGTTTGAGGCCAGTCTGGGCAATTCTACGAGGCCCTGTCTCAAAAGTTTTAAAGGGCTGGAGTTGTATCTCTGTGGTAGAGAGCTTGTCTTAGCAAGCATAAGAGCCCAGATCAAACTTCAGTACTATAGATACATATGTTCATCCACCCATACACACACACACACACACACACACACACACACACACGCTAAAACAAGTGAAGAGGTGGGCACATGCTGAACTCCAATAGGAATAGGACCAGACATGATAGTTAAATTGATTTTAATTTTATCAATCATGTTATATCTCTTCTAAAAATAGAACACTAGATGTAAATTTAAAAAACAGTAGCAGATGCTTATTCTAAGTGGCAAGAATCTGTATGTGCATGTTTCCACATTTTTTTGCTTCTTGAAAAAAAGTGAAGTTCAGGTAGCAAGTCTCCATATCTTCAGGGTCTCTACCCCATGCAGTTGGAGGTAGGAATTGTTTGTGTTTCCCCTCCTCCTCCCTACCCAACTTTCCACTACCCAGGCATCTTGGATTTCCAAATTAGCCCTAACCAGCCCATTTCTAGTGTGTATTCTGTGCTTTTGATAATTAAAACTAAAGCTCCTTCATTTCTAAGTTCAACAAGTATTTGTCAAACACAATACAAAGTTTCAGTCATCCTGGGCTGAGAGATCCCTGGTTTCTGCCATACAATGCTCCTGATCTAAGAGGACAGAGAGATGATATGGGAAAGAAAAAAAAATTCATGGCGATTTCTATGCTACAAAGGCATTTTTACTACATACCGTGTGGGACAAAAGGGAGTTTGGTGAAGTCACGGGAAGGCAATCCTTGATGAAGGACAATAAAAGGAACCTATAAATATTTATATATAAGGAAAAGAGCAAGGCAATGGCACCCAAAGAGCCCTCTTATATGCCAATGTTATGGTTTGGATCTGAAAAGTTCCCCAAAGGCTCATATGCTGAAGACGTGGTTGCCAGCCTAGGAAGTAGTGGAAGGAAGTGAGGCGAGGAGGGGCATCCCTTGAAGGAGCGGTAGGGACTCTGACCACTTCCTGTCTCTCTCTTAGCTTCCTAACCTCCATGAGATGAGCAGAACCCCTCTGCCACAGGCTTCCATTACTTATTGTGCCATCACAAGCCCAAAAGCAAGGGACCTAACAACCATGGAAAACTCTGGAGCCATGATCCAGAATAAACTTTTCCTGTAAGTTGACTTTCTCAGGTATTTTGTCACAGCAACAAGAAGCTAACACACACAGCCAATTATCCTACATATCAATGCTCACAGCCACCACATTAGGTAAGAAGTATGATCCCAATTTTAAAGTTAAGGAAACAGAGGCTCCAAGAAGGAAAGTGATCCAACTGAAGCCAAAGAGCACTTACAGATTCCAACCCAAATTTGAAAAATCAAAGCTGAGAATGGGGTGGTTCTGAAGAGATAGGGTTTGCCTAAGGCAGCGTGAGGAGACTTCTGGTACCCATGTCATCATTCTTTTTCCTAGATTGTGATGCTCACTGGCAATGAAAGACCAAGACTATATACAGCCTGAGGCATTTGCTTATTTATCCTAATGAGATTTAAACACAATCTAGCCTAATAAAGATAGTGAGCTGCAGGCTTAATTCTGAATAGTCAGGCTTAAACTTGTACTATTTCATCTTACCTCCAAATCTAGCATAATTTCTATGGGTCACCTGATTTTGGAATAGGGGAAATTTCACTTTCACCTACAGGAACATGCTCTCCTGGCCCAACCAGAGCCAAGAAAAGTAGCTCAGCCTGGGAAAGGGAAGCAGGGGCTCGGAGAGACTCTGAGGACAGCTGAAGAGAGGCACCGCCCAGGGTGCTGCCTAATCCATCCGACATGGGGACACACTGTTCCAGAAACAGGATGACAATTAATAGGAAAAATATGCTCTCACAGCATTGCCAAGCATGTTGCAAGGTCTCAGCTGGTGGTACACCTCCTCGGAGGAAGAGTAATAATGCCCCATTCTTCTCTATTGTCAACCTCTTAACATTTCTCCTGTATGAGTAGAAAAGGCTAAAAAGGTGCCTGCCATGGTAGCAAAACACTGCAAAATAATAATCCTCACCCTCAAAGCCATAAGCCCAAGGAGAACCCTAAGACTGAAGGCTTGGAGCTCATTAAATGGTCATCTCATCTAAACCTACACTGTTTGACACATGGTAGATAAAACATCTCTAGTCAAGGAGCCTAAGAGTGGTGTGCTCCTGCTTAAGTCATCAAACTTCTATTCCTTCTTTATAATTTACCTACACGTGCATTTCCCTTAACCAGAATATTTCTGATGATCCAAGAAAGCCTGGATGAACTTGCTATGCCTGGATGGACTCATTATGACTTATCCAGGTTCATCAAAAGTAGAAAGCTCAGGAAGTTCCTGGCAAATTGTGAAGTCTTGCCCCATAGTTTCTGTCCTTCTTTTCTTCTCCATGTATCTTCCTAGTTATTAGTGTTTTCAACTTTATAGGAAAGCACAAAATCTTTTGAGAATATAATAAAAGCTATGTGCTAGTTCCTTTCTACATAAAAACACTCAACCCTTGCCATGTACAAACACTCAAGGATTTGCATAGAATTCAGGGGATACTGTCCCTGTGAATGCTATTTAATCCTCTCCTCCAGTCCCAGAACCCCAATGTCAGGACTACTATCACTGCCCATGTATACAGAAGCTCCTGAGTAGAAGCTATAGAAGTTCATCTTTCTAGATCTCAGTCTTGCTAGAAAACACCAGCCTGAATCTTGTCTAAGTAACCTTTCACTTTCCCTCCATGCCCAGTGCTACTCGGTATCAGCTATACATGGAAACCCCAGCTGGGAGCATATCTTGAGATTCAAATTTCCCTTGAGCCATTTGGTCACATCCATCTCTGCGACCAGGCAGATGGATGCTAATTCGCCATGTTAACCCCTTTCATGCCAGCCTCTTTACCCAGGCTTGGCCTAGTGCCACATCCTTAAACCACACCCTCTGCCACAATGAGGTTGAATATTCTGTGTTGTGGAAGCTAGCCAACAGATTTAGAAATCGTGTTGCTCTTGGCATCCATTCCGGAACTCTGTGTAGAGCTACGTGCTAAGATACCATGGCACAGGAAGTTTTTCAATACCACAGCTTACAACCCCATATCTAGCTGTGCTAACTCCTTCCCTGACTCCAAAGATGTGTACAGAAGAGTGAAAAACCAAGTCATTCATGCCAGGAGTTCTTTTACCAACCAGTAAAGAAAATGAAGTCTTCCTTACTTGGCCTCAAATCCATCTTCTTTTCCAAATCATCCTAATCACACAACCCCACCTGAGCAGTGGTTACCAGCAGCCACAGTAAAACCATGAGGTCCAAAGTTTGGTTCCCACCGATCCAACATGGCCTTTCATCCATAATGACCAAGAATAAGGAGTCTCTATCAATTTCCATTGGGACTACTTAGGCCCCACGACCAGAGGCTCTCCCAAAGAGCAAAGAAGGAGGAAATAATACCCTCGGCACACTTGGGACTGAACATCCCACCTTACCCTTCATTCCAAATTTGGACCGTCGGCCATACTTGTTGATCATGATAAAGAGAACCACCAACAGAACACAGGCAAAAGCAGCCAGTCCAACTGCTATGGATACCTGTTAGGAGCCAAATGCAGATTGTCAGGAACATTCAGGGAAACCTTAGTGCTTTGCAATAACTTATGCACCCAGAGAAGAACAGTCTTGCCCCAGTAGCAAGTACAACCCCCCAGAATTTTGCTATGGAGTTAGTGAGGAGTTTGGAAGAAACAATTTATGAGACCCTGAGAAAAATTATAAATTGTTTTACATTTAAAAACATAAATTGCCCAACATGATTAGAGAAAGTTCCACGATTTAATTTTGTGAGCCCCCTCTCAGCTGGAGGCCATTCTACAGAAGCAAACACAAACCTTCTATTATTTTAATTAGCAAGCAAATTCTGCATCTTTACCTTGAAAACTTTTACATAATATTCCTATCCTGGGAGGTCTAAAAGATCTGGACTCTGAAGACTCCTTTCTTCTCCCCAGGGATATTTCAGGTTATGTGTAAGTAGGGTTTGAAAAGGCTATTCTAGGAGATGCCCAGAGAAATTTGGACTTTTACAGATGGATTGTACCATGAGCAGGCCCTGTGAATTAGCCCAGCCTAACAGACTGAGGATTTCAGGCTATTCTCTTCCAAACCCCAGGGCTTGGAAATGATCTTCAAAGACTTCCTCAAACAATGAGCTATTCCCATCAAACAAGGAAGGTTTGAACTGCCTGAAAGAGAGCAGGGGGAGTCATTCATCATTCCTTTTCTTTTTTTAATGCCTAGGTACTGAGGTTCCAAGTAAGACAATATTTAGAAAAGTAAGCAACTCAACTGAACCCTGAAAAGGACTATACCAGTCAACGCGCTCCTTTGACCAAGAAGTGACTCACCCCAAAAGTGTCTTCCTCAGGTTTGTGAGTCACAGTGATAGGAGGTGTAGGGCTCACATCAGATTCTGAAAAGCAAACACAAAAGAGAAGGAAGTTAGCTTTCTAGCCATGGGAGGCCCAGCCACAGTTCCTGCCTGGCCTTCAGGCCCCCTGACACTTCCTGCTGAGGAAGGGACTCTGGGAGGTGGGTTCCCACAGCCTACCCTCCTAGGACTATAGGGGTCCCCAGAGGTCACATCCTTGTCTGGCCACTTGGCTGATGCTGTGGCTCAAGGACAGATGCCATAAGGAATAAAGAGCCTTCACTGCCCTCTTTCTACCCCCACCCCATAACCTGGGCAACATACAACATGAGCTATGGGATAGGAAAGAGGAAAATGACTTGAGATCCTGGCCAGGGTCTGGATTAGGCACATTTTAGTGGTGATGGCAGCTGCTGTTGACATTCTGTTACTACTAGCTAGGGGTATTCCTTTTCTTCTCTCTGCCACCCTAATGTCCTTCCTTCTTCCCTCTTTACATCACAGTGAGATGCAATCCTGTGGACTCATGAACAATCCCAGTATCCATTACTTTAACATTGACTTCAGAACATAGCAGTAGCTCAAATGAAATGACAGAGCCACCTTCCCAGGAACACCACCCATGCCCTGTAAAGCCTAGGTGAGAAGTCAAGTCTCAGTTTATCCATCCAGATCACCTCCATGCCAAGAAATGGCCCTAAATCCAGAATTCTCTGAAGGGACATCTCTGAGATTACAAGTCCCCTAAGACCAAGAACAACTAAAGGAGTCACAGAAGATATTTACATCATCCCCAAACAGCTGAGGGTGTCCCTAAACAGGAATGGTTTCCTAACTTAGATAATCCAGACATTAAGCAGAATAATACAACTGCTGCTGTTATTACCACTTCTCATGGGGAAGACAAGGGAATATATGCAGGTTTCCCACAACCCACTAGCAAAACCCCAAGTCCTTTTAGGACTGTCTAGACCTAGCCCCAAGTAACTTATAATTTGAGCCTCAAGATTTCATTTGAGGACACATAAGCTTATCAGAAGATTTTGCAAATCACAACTCTATACAACATAGGTTATGGTCAAACTCTTGGATTCATAAAGCAGATAAGAAAGACAAGCAGATATATATAGCTTCAGATTTTCTCTGCAAGAGTCACTGAGATGATTCAGTGAGGATCTACAAAAGCACACAAAGCCTTTTTCTTGTCACTTCCCTTTTCACCCACATGGAAGGACCCAACACGTAGTCACACCTTAGAAAAGCCCCTAGGGGAAATTGAAGTACAGCACGATTGCCAAATAAAAGCAGGTTTGGAACTGTCCAACTAGAACTACATTTATATTCTCTAGCTCCTTTCCACAGTTCACTCTGATGTCCCCAGCTTCCATGGGGCTGAGAATAATATGGCATAGGAAAGAGGGCTGATTGGATTCGATAGTGACCAAAAGTATCAGAATAAATCAATTTCAAACTGAAAGGTAAAGCAACTTACCAAAGACAACAATATCTGTGCTCTCTGCAAAAAAAGGACAAAAATGTAATTAACAAATGTCGTCAATGGCAGAACAGACACACTACATTACCCTAATGGCTATCACCGCTCATGCTAGCACGATCCCCTGCTCTCACAGCAAATGACACACTCACATCCGTGACACATCACCCTTCCCCTGGGCTGCACCCCCTCTTTAGGGCACAGTCCTCAAACTGGAGCAGGAAGGAGAGACAAAGCTTTGGGTTCCAAAGGAGGTGGCCCACCTGGGAACTGCAAACCAAACTAGTGTCATTTAAATCTTGAGCCACAGTCTGTTCCATGACTCTCCCTCCTTCAGGACCCAGTAGTACTAAGGACAGTGATGTAGGTTGGGACAAGCTATGGTCTCAAAGATGAGAGTCCAAAAATGGGTATTTACAGTTGATTCTAGTAGGTCACTGAGAAGTCCTTGGGAATCCTTCTAGAATCTGCCCATTCTCCAGATGGAAATGTGTTACTTAAACTCTGGCCTCTAGAAATGGCTCGGCAAATTATACAAGCTAATCCTTAACTGGACATTGATTATGACCGGAACCCAGCTGTGTAACATCATCCAGTCCTTATAGCCATCTTGAGCTTGGTAGCATCACCCCCATTTAAAACAAGTGAGGAAACAAGTTTGTAGAATTAAGTAACTAATTGAATGTGCTTCATCTAAGAAGATATTAGAGCTCTATTCAAATCCAAGACCAGGCTTTAACTACTCTACAAAAGATGCTCCAACATAAGCATTCAATAGAATCATCTTGAAGGTAATCACTACTATTCTCCAATAAGAGAAAAAGGATTTCTTGAAGAAATGGATAATTTCAGGGCTGGCGCAGGGAAGACACAAGATGTTCCAGAATACCTTATGGCAGCAGAAAGTAAGAAAGTGATTAAAGATTATTGGAGACGTAAAGAGAGGAAGTAGAAGCTGAAGGAAAAGAGCTCCCAATGCACAATATGCCATCCCCCATGCTGCACTGCCTTTTTAGGGGCTCGTCCCTAAAGTGGGGTAATTTGAGCAGAAAACTAATATGAGTAAGATTGTTATGAACTGAATCATGGCCCCCAAAATCCATATATTGAAGTTGTAACCTCCACAACCTCAGAATGTGACTGTATTTAGAGACAGAGTCTTCAGTTGGGTACTTAAGTTAAAATTGGGTCTTAGAGTGGCCCTGATACAATATGACTAGTGTTCTGATAAGATTAGGGCACAGACAAGAGCACAGAAAGGCCATGGAGGGCACGGAGAGAAGACATCTTCTTCAATGAAACCAATCCTGCCAACACTTGGTCCCAAACTTCAGTTTTTTAAGCCAAGAGGGTCTATAGTATTTCATATGGCAATCCTAAAAATGAATCACATGAATTATTAAATAAAATCCATGACTCCATGCTGATACAGATATATAAATGAATATATAAATGGGGGAAGAAAGAAAAGCTCTTCCTTACAGTAAATTTTAAACTAATAAATGTAGAAGGAATGATGGAAATAAAATAATTACCATTTGGCAAGTACAACAGTCGTAATTGTTTCAGGCAGAAATCCTCAATGAATGTTAAAATTAGTATGTGAGAGAATCATGAGAAACAAGCTATTTACATAATTTCAAATCATTATTCTTATTAATGGCACCAGGGAAAATCATTTTGTAAAGGAAAAACCTGGCAGACACAATCTTGACCAAGTGACAAAGTCACCATCACCAGTGGTAGACATATGGACGTCAAGCACTACCCCCATAGGACAGACCTGAAGTGTAGCGCATCCTTACTATGATGGTGCCAAAATCCACAACTAGAATTTAGTTGTGAAAAATAACTCCAGCAAATCCATACTGAGGGAGTCTACAAAATGACTAGTGTGAATTCTTCAAAAGTGCCAAGATCAGTGAAAGACAAAAACTGAAGAATTATCCCAGAAGAGTATAAGTGACATGGAAGCTAAATACAATGTGGATTCCTGGTTCAGATCCAAGACAATAAAAGGGTATCAGTGGGACAGGTGAGGCCATGTGAGCCAAAACTGCTGTGAGATAATAGCAGTGTGAGAATGTTCATGTCCTCCTTTGGGTCACTGTGCTGTGGTGTGGTAGGATGCTGACATCTGGGGAACCTGGGAAGGAAGTTCTCTGTGCTACTTTGAAACTTTTTTTTGTAACACCCAAACTATTTCAAAATGAAAAGTTAAACATCCTTCAAAATTAAAGAGAGGCTGGTCATGTAGCTCAGTGGAACACTTGCCTCAAATGCGCTTGAAGAAAAGGCGCCTCACCTCAGAGTTTTTGAGTCTGGATAGGTCACAAGTATCTGTATTTCTTTCTTTTTAGTTATGTTATGCTATGTTATGTTATGTTATGCTATGCTATGTTATGTTATGTTACTTATTATTTTATGTGCTGCTGGAGATCAAACCCACAGCCTCACACACGTTCTACCACAGAGCTGTACCACAGACTTGATAATTCACATTTCTCGGGTTCTCTGGTGATGCAGCTACCACTGGTCCCTTTCAAGGTATTACACCATGCTTTACCACCTCCTCCTGCCACAAGCCTACCACACCCACTGCAGTCTTCCCTTTTCCAGGCCTGGTTAAGAACTCACAGCCACTACTGCTGTAGCTCTGCTAAGTGTGAACCAGCAGATTGTCTTCTCTAACTACCTGTGGGGACCAGGTGCTTTTCAGGAGGGAGTCCTTCAGAGAAGGTCCTGTTTGCAGTAAATGCAGTCATTTTGGTGTTTGTTTGTTGCCTCTTCTGGGCTGCTGTGAGGAAATCAAAAGGACTTTCTCCAAATTCCTCAGCACATACATCATGTTATTTCCTCTCCTCACCTGCAGGTACCTAATGCCTGATTTGGGGGAAGGAGGAGCTGGGGAAGATCTAGGTTTGGCCTCAAAGCCAGAACCCAGACAGGAGCTGGTTCCCATTTGCAGAATCCACTAATTTGCATATGTGCCAGAAGGCTCCCATTTATTAGAGAACAGTCTTACATCAGCCAATGTTTTGGCCGAGTCTGAAACTGTGAACCCTGTAATCTCCGAGTCAGCCATAAATGTTGAAATCCTTTGCTAGAGCTTGGAAACATTTATATCCAAGAAGCACATGAACTTTGGAAGTGGAGTGATCTTGGCTGCTCTCTACCTTGAGGCAGGTATTTAGATATCCATATCTGAAGAGGACAGTATTAGCAGTTCTCCTCCCCACAGCAGGCTGAGACAGGAGTGGACTAGCATGTCAAGCATCTGAGTATAAAACAAGCTGTGCTCTGAATAGAAGGCACATGTCTGCTACAGTCCCAGACCACAGCTCCCCAGAAAGGCCCTTCAGGAGGATTCATCTTCACCAAAGTCTTCAAGGTAGAAGCAGGGAGATTAAAAAATTTGCATGAGGTCACAGAGCTGACAAGTGATGGAATAAGAATTTGAGCCCTAGCAATGGGGTTCTATAACCACTAGCCTCAACTGCCTTAAGACTGACTATCTCTTAGAGCTTACGACCTTGACCAGAAAATTACTACTGGTTCTAGACCTCCCTAGTTCATCTAACTCTGCATCTTCAAAGTCCTCACAACCAACAGTCATTAAGCCTTCCCTCTATCCACACACACACCTAAGCACTTGCCATATATTACTTCATTTAAATCCCATAGCAACTTGGGCAGGAGCTGTTGGGATCATCCTCCTTTCTCAGATGAAGAAACAAAGACACAGTGTAGTGACTGTCCTTCCCTGAGCCTTGACCATGCACTAAACCTCACACTCGGAGCCCAGACCACCTGTCTGTCTGGGAGGACCACATGTGGGATCTGCACCTACATTTACCTGACTTCAACGCCCTTGACCTAAACTCAGCTTTGCAGCCAGTGTCAGCTTTAGCTTAGAAGGTTATGCTGTATCCCTCCCTGCTCCCCCAGATGAACTGGTCTTCTGAACACTTAGACATCTTGGCACTTGATATGATAGGCATATCTCCTTCCTGTCACTGCCTTTCCATCATCCATTGATTCCTTTAACACCAAGGTGCATAAAACCAGCAGTTTTGCCCAGGGTGGCCCTGGACAGGTTTGAGAAAAAGTGAACTGCTCTATCTTCATGTTTCTCTGTAACTCTACTCTCCCTCCTGCCTTCTGGGGCCAGATTCCTGCCAAATGCCATGGAAACAGGTTGCAAATGAGGGAATATCAGAGCTATCTGGAGCCTGACAAAGCAGAGCTACAAGACCTGCCCCAGTGTCTCTGACTCCTCAGAATCATGGAGAGCTTCAGAATGGCAGAGCTACAAGACCTGCCCCAGTGTCTCTGACTCCTCAGAATCATGGAGAGCTTCAGAATGGCAGAGCTACAAGACCTGCCCCAGTGTCTCTGACTCCTCAGAATCATGGAGAGCTTCAGAATGGGAGTTTTAACTCATTCCCAGGTGGCACTGAAACTGGCGGTGTGAAGACCACTTCTTGAGAACCACTAGCCTAAGCAGCTTGATAGTCAACTGTGATGCAGAGGCATCAGGAACTGTGAAAGGGGCTGCTGCACTTCATAAGGACCAAGGATGAATTCACATGGCTGCGAGTATGCAGAGAACTGCTTTCTCCCAGAAAGAGAGAAAGAGACAAAAGGAAAGTAGAGTCCCTCATCCCATCCCACTGCTCTTAGTGCTCTGAGCTCTCAGGACATCCTCAGTGGAAAGGAGCCCAGAGTAGATCGCCCTTCCTTGTGGACATTCTAGGGCTCCCTGCTCTCTCCAAGCCCCAGGAGTTTCCCTTTGGAAACAAAAGTACTGTTGCATAGGACTTCACTCTTCACCCATCGGGTTTAGACTCTCTTCACAAACAGAATTCAGGGGCTCTGGATGTGGAACAGCGCTTGCCTCACATGTGCTAGGACCTAGGTCAATCCCCAGCACTACAAAATATGTAAAATAAAAAAACAAGAACAGAATTAATACTCTAATCAATAGGTGGGAATAGAGGGGTAAGGGGCCATGTCAGCCTTTTATGTGAGCAAGACCTTGCCCAACTTTGTGATCCATTACAGAAAATTCTCTAAGCATCTGGAAGCCCCTGCTTCCTCACTGCAGGCCAGGACTCTTCTCCTGGCTAACAGAGGGCCCAGCCCAGTATAGAAGTGTCCTGAGGCCTCTTGCTGGGAACACTGAGGGTGGGGTTGGAAACCTCAGAGCATAGGAGATTGCCAGGGTCTAAAACATCAGCATCTTCTCAAGACTCTTCTGAATACAAGTCCATCATTCCCTGGACCTCAGAAGCAAACAGCTGGATTCACATGCAGCCTTCCAGGTGCATGGTTATTTGCGGGTTATTTGTGTAGTCATCTTTGTGCAAGCAGATACAGTATTGTGCTTGTTTTCACTGCCTCCCCTCTGTGTGTGTGTGTGTGTGTGTGTGTGTGCATGTGTGTGATATACTTCACACTTCCCTTCTTCCCATTAGAATCCCTGCTTTGGGGGATTGGAGGACAAAAGCCACCCAGGCTGTTCCCAATACAAATCACCAAGATCAGCAAATACATATGGCTTCACAGAAAGAACCTTATAAGCTCCAGAACCCATCAAGAGATGCTACAAATGACCACTTTCACTAAGCTCAAGTGGTGTTTACTTCTCTTCCAGCTTTGGGAAGGTACTTGAAATGTCCTAATGGAAAATCAGAGAAATATGGAGTCGCCTCCCCAAATTCCTAAGCTCTTCCATTACTTACGTGATTCTCCCTGTCACCCGAGGCTGACAGCACCAGGCACCACCCCAAGAGCCCCTCACAGAACAAGAGAGGAAAGAGCCACCACCCCTGCCTATGACTTGCCAGAGGAATGAGGTCCAGGCCACTCATTTGTTAAATGTGGGGTTGAACTGGATGGACTCTGAAGTCCCTTACAACGGAATGTCATGGAACCATCACCATGTACCAACCCTGTGACCCAAGCTTTATATGTCTTAACTCATTTAAAAGCCACAAGAGTCTTAGAGCAGCAGCATAATGAAGCCTACTTCATAGCTGAGGAAATAAAGGTTTAGAAAAACCAACTATCAGGCTGGAGGGCTCCCACTAAGGAAAAGGTTAGGCCAGGACTCCACTACCTTATTGACCTCTGAAGCCCCTGTTCTCTCTGTTGGAACACAGTATGCAGTCATATGTATGAGTGTATTTCTAGGGGTCATTGGATTTGCAGTGACATCTAATCGAAAATGGAGACTTTATCCTAGGTTACACAAAATGCAGATGGTGGCTGCACGTCCCCATATGAGTGTAGCCACTGTGATCTCACTGAGTATGAGCCCTACTTCTCCTTTCCAGCCACCACACCCCACCCCAATTCCCAGATGCACTCACCCGGGAAAGGCTCCTTCAGGAAGTGGCCCCTGATGGTCTGGTTGGCTGTGCCCAGGGGGTTCTTGGCAATGAGTGTGTAGTTGCCGTTGTTGTAGTGCGTAGGCTTGTTGAAGAGCAGGCAGCCCTCGGCCAGCTCACCCTCCTGGTAGTACTCCACGTGGATGATCTTGGACTCCCGCAGTGGCTGCCCATTATGCAGCCAGTGCACGGTGGGTGGTGGGTTGCCCCGCACCACGAACTCAATGCAGTGCTCCAGACGCAGTTCGGGCTCCTCCAGGCTAACCACACGCGGAGGGTCTGTGGGGACAGGCCAGCTGGAGTCTGGGACGCTGTGGTAGGAAGCCCAAGTCTTTCCTGCCCAGCTCAGAAAAACCCCAGGGAAGCAGAGGTCCCCCCAGCACCCCACCAGAGCAATAGAGACACCTGTCTTCACCCAAACTTCCTGGATCTGCCTTTACTCAACAGTTACCTCTGGGGAGACCATCTTAGAAGATGCAATTGCAAGAGAGGCATACCACCTTGGAGGGGAAAGGACACCCTTTCTTGGGGTTGCTCTCCAAGAACTGACTTCTCAGTCCGGCCCTATGGGATCCTCTGTGCCCCTGCTGGCAGAATGGGATCAGTGCCCCAGCCCCAGCCCTCTCAGTCCCCTGCACCATCCTGGCTCCCAGCAGCCCCCGTGCTGGTGCACACTTACAGTAGACAGTGAGGGCGACGCTGGCATTGCTCATGCCCACCACGTTCTCTGCAATACACGTCAGGGTGAAGCCATTGTCCTCACTCGTCACGTTCACCAGTGTCAAGTTGATGGCATGGACGTTGGTCCAATTCAGATTTGTCTGAAAACCCCAACGAAAAGATAATAATGAAACTGTTTCTGCAAGACAAGCTCCCCTGTATGACTCCCAAGCACCTTTAGGAATCAAGAGGAAAGCAGACCAGAAGGAGGAAATCTCTCTAGAGAAAGCACACAGACCAAATGTTAGGATGTTTATAGACCACAGTTCAGGTAATCTTCACAACAACACCACGATGGAAATGGTAACATTATACCCATTTTACAGAAGGGGAGATGAAGGAAAAGAGAGACTGAGTAGCACACATAAGGTCAAAATGGCTTGAAAATACTAGAGCTGTATGAAACCCAACTCTCTGTGCTTCTTCCTATTAGAACAGGATCACAAATCTGCCCTCATGTTTATGATTCAAGTCATCGCTCCTAAGCTTCCTGAGGGGGATCTGGCCCTACGGTGCCCACCTGGTGGGTGTTGATGGACTGCAGCCCAGTGACTATCCAATCCACATCAGGCAGGGGTGATCCAGACCCATTGCAAGTGATGACAGCATTGTCGCCTTCTCGTACGGTCAGGTTGACATGGCTCACACTGATCTCAGGAAGGTCTGGGAGAAGGGGTAAGAGGACAAGAAAGGTAAAAAGACAGACAAAAGCTGCCCAAAAGAAGATCTATCATGGGCTGATGGTGGCACTTCATTTATTTATTTATTTATTCACTGCAATACTGGGGATGAACCCAGGGCCTTCACACTGAGCTATATCTCAGACTTTTTATTTTTTATTTTAAGACAGAGTATCACTAAGTTTCCCAGGCTAGGCTCAAACTTGCACCTGCTTCAGCCTCCCAAGCAGCTTGGATTACAGGTGTGACCCACCATACCTGGCTTGATGATGGCAATTCTTGCTTTGCCCTCTAACAATGCCAACACAACTTGCTTGAGGTCTTTGAAGACTTAAAAACCCCAGACACTTCCCACAGCCCTCTCAGACATGTGAGACCTCAGACTGGACCCTGCCCTTGATGCTCCTCTAGGGCAGTATATGAGTGGGACAGCTGCTCAGGAGGAATGCAATGAGCATCTAGCAAAAAAGCCCAGTGGTTTCATCCCGCTTAGGTTCTCACAAAACCAGCATGTTTCGCAATTCCACAAGTAGCTGGCTAGAAATTCAGATTTCCAGGACCCATCCTAGATATCTGATCCCAAAATTCTGTGGCTGGGCCCTAAAATTTGCTTTTCTAAAAGCTCCTTAGAAGCTCCCAATGCGGAAGTCCAGAAATCACTTTCTGAGACAATCTGGGTGTGTGTAACAGGTGACTCACAAGAGAGAAAAGGAATCTGATCTGCTAAGAAGGGCATGCAGAGCTCCCATCTGTGTTCCTAAACTGACCTTGCTGTGGCAGGCTCAGGGATAGGCATGACCAAGGAGCATAAGGTGAGTCAGATCTGCACCAACTGCAAAGGTCAAGGCTAGGGCGGTTGGGGGACGCAGCTCCACTCTCCTTCCTGGAGTCAGGGGGGCAGGCCTCACACTCACCACACTGACTGATGTTCATGCGGAAGAGAGGGAGCTGGGAGCCATCTGCACTGATGCAGTAGAGGCTCTGGCTATTCAGCCTGGCCTCCCCCTGCTCCTGCCACAGCTGCATCCAGCGGATGTCACAGCTGCAGTTGAAGAAATTCTGCTCCAGTCTCCTGTGGGCAAAAAGAGAGGGGAAGGAACCCCTGAACGGAAGACGGCCCAGCTCCCTCCCACGGCTGTGAGGTCAACAGACCCCCACCTGCTCCACAGGGATGAAGGAGAGAGGGATTAAGAAAGGTCATGGGGGAGGGAAAAATTATATGACAGTGAATTTGCTTACTTTTAAAATGAATAAGCTCATGACAGTGCCAAATCCATCTCAATTAATGCACCTAGTATATGGACCACATTGGAAAGCTCTTCCTCTCCAAACCCTTAGGTGGCTTCCCATTTCATTGAAAGTCAAAGCCAAAGTACTGCATAACCTGCAACATCCTGTACCACCCTCTGACCTTGTCTCCTTCACTCTGATGACCCTCTCCAGCCATGTAACCTTCTGTCTCCAACTTCGCTAACATGATGGGCTCATGCCTGCCTCGGGACCTTTATACTCATGGTTCCTTTGGATTTCCAAGCTCTTACCCAACATATGTGCAAGACCTATTACTCTCCTTTCACTGAGGAATCATAGGGCCTCCTCATCACCCTCTATACAAAAGCCACTACGTTCCCTTGTCCTAGTAAAACCCAGCACCTCACCCTGCTATATTCTTCTTTCTAGAGTTTGTCATCTCTCAGCATTTAATTTGTCCATCTGACTCCCAAATAAAGTTTAAGCTTGCTGAGGTCACACACATACTGATTCATTCACATACCCTGCTTCGTTGCTATATTCTCAATACTAAAACTGAGACTGGCTCATAAATTCTTGTTGAATTCAAGAGGTAAAAAACCAAGAGTAAAAGAAGGAGCTTCTCCCCAGGAAAGCGGGTGCTTAGCTATTGCACAGACCATTTGGGAACTACCCTTATTCCTTTGGAAATTCAGTGGATCCTCAGTATGCACCTGCTCCGTCTCTGGTAATGGGTTGAGTACTATTAATCTAGAGATGATTAAGACAGTCCCTGTCCTCCAGGAGCATTCAGCCTGGCGAAGATAGATGTCTAAAGGGGCAGAATTAAGTTCAAAGCCCTTCTTCTCCATGACTTAAAGGAAGTCATGCTCCTCCTTGATGGGGTTATTAGGAAAATGGTGAACAGCATTAATCAATCCAAAATCTCTTAAAGTAAAAAGCACCTGGTATATCTGAATGCCTGGATCATTAAGGGGAACATGATTCTCTCTCTGGACTGTTAAGAGGATCGATTGGTTGGTACCAAGAGGGAGGACATTTGGAGCACTGCACTAAGACCCTGGATATTTTTGACAACTGGCAAATTCTAAAATAGTTAAGCCTGCATCAGCACTAATCTAATTTCAAGAAAATGTGAGGGCCCTGGGGACAGGAATCAGTGGGTTTTAGGCACAAGGGCATCTTAGGTAGAATGTAGAAATGACCTGACATAATATCATCTTCTTAGCCTAAAAGTTCCCAAGACTTTTTTCTGCATGTAGTGCTTTCAGAAAAGGGGAGTGAAGAGAACTGGCCTTTACTGGTCATCTGCTTCCCATGACAGTCTCAAGAGACATAGTCACATTCGGGACTTCTTGGCTGGTGTGTATCAGTGCAGTTTCAAACCCTAGTCTCTTGGACTCCAATACTCATACACTGTTCACCCATCTTCCCTGGGAAACGTGTTGCAGGATGCAATGGAGGTGCAAAGGGAACTGGACTTTGAAGGCTCACGGATGCAGAGACTAGAGGGAAGAGCTGGAGGAAGGTGGCAAAAACTGAAGAGTGGAACAGAGAAGCAAGGTTCAGACTACTTAAAGAGTATATGTCAAGGGGAAAAAGCTGGAAGGGTGTGTGGGAGCCAGATGGCAAAGAACTTTCACTGCCACATGAGGAAGTCTGCAGTTGGTCTAGGAGGCAGTGGGGAACCACTGAGGTCCTCAGAATAAGCTGGGGAATGCTGTGAACATAGTAGCTTTTTAACAAAAGCAAACCAACAATAGTGTACTGGAGAAACCAGTGAGAAGGAAAGCTAGAGACAAGGGGGGCAGTTAGGATGCCTCATAAACACAGGGCCGCCATGTACAGCTGTGCAGTCCATGCATTCCTCAAAGAGCTCAGCCAAAGCAAAAAGGGGCATCTTTTCTAACACACAGAGGTACCGTAGAGGCTGATAGGGTCTAGGCCACTGTTCTCAAACTTGCAGGGTCAGAACTCATTCATCTTTACAAATTTTCTTAAGGACTTCAAAAAGCTCTTTTTTTAGGTGACTTATATTTTTTACTATTTACCATATTAGAAATTAAAAATGAGAAAAATTTAAAACGCTAGACTACATTAGCATAATTTTCATGAGTCACCAGGACCATGATGTCATCACATGCCATGCGTCTCTAGAAAACTCCACTGTACCCTCCTGAGTGTAGAAAATGCAACTGATATCTGAGTGCTGTCACAAAAACAGATTCTGCTTACGTTCTCCCTGAAAGGGTATTGGGAATCCCCAAGTGACCTGGACCACAGTTGAGAACTACTTCCCACTAAATAAGGGCCTACAGTAGAGTGGTAAGAACTAGGGAGAAGGAGGAGAAAAATCTAAGAAACATAAGATATGATTGGCATTTCGTTGGAGGCAGAAGAAACAATGGACAATGGAAAAGGAAGAGAAAAGGGAAAAGCAAAAAATGAAACATGAAAGATGAGAAAAGCAGTGGCAGAGAGAACTGTCTTTGAGAGAAAGCAGAAAGCAAGAATCAAAGGAGGAAGTGAAACATACACTGGCTGATTGTTATGGCTTTTGTCTAGATATCCCCAAAAAGCCTCATATAGTCATAGGTGGGGCTTTTTCAGAGGTGGCTGAATCTAGAGTGTGTGATTGATTCATGGTCCATTGCTAGGATTAAGGGCGAGTGATTACTAAATCAGTCCACTGATTGGTTTCACTCTGCCATCATCCTAGCAGCTTGGATACAATAGAAGGGACAGAAAAAGGCTTGTCTCATCCCTTGCTTGTTTGCTTTGCTACCTTCTGCCTGCCATGAACTGTTTCTCATCTGCAATGCCTGTCTACCAAGCCACCCTGCCTTGGAGCCAGCCAATTATGGACTGAACCCTCTATAAACTGTGAACTAAAATAAACCTTTTTCCCTTTAACCTCAAGTATCAGACATTTTGTCTCAGCAATGGGAGTAAAAATAACTAAGACAAGGGAGCAGGGAGGGAAGGGAGAGATCAAGTTTCCAGAGCAGGAAAGGGAAAGATGAGCCACAAAGCCATGGAGGTATTTGACTCCAGGTTAAGCAAGATGCCTGTGTGGATAAGACCTGGGACAGAAAGAAGAAGAAAGTCATAGGGAAATAACAGGGTAATAATATCTGCATCACCTTGCCATAGTGCCGACCCATGCCAAATGTCTTCCACATATTGCTTCACTGAGCCCTCACAAGGAGGAAGCACAGGAAGGAAGGGGACCTCTGAGGGCTTCCTTAGGACAGCAGAAAGTCAAGTTCACCACTCAAGGTGTGGAAAAGGGAGGACTGTGGGGCCAGAGTGTTTGGATCCTGCTGTTATAGCGGCTGCAAGGACAGGCCTGGCGGCCTTGTTGGATGACACCAAGGGTCCCGATGCTTGAATATGTGTGAACTGATCCAGGTCAGCCTGGTTTTTCCCAGATGCTTGCTTGACAAGATGTGGCCATTCATTATTAAGTAGGTGTAAAAATACAGATTATTCACCTGGGTTAAAAAGGCTAGACAAGTGAGGGGCTTGGCAGAGATACCACACAACACATGACATAATCCTGCCTCATGATGGAGCCGTGGAGCCAGGCACTGTAGTGTGTCCCAGCAAGTCTCGAAGGCAACCATTACCTAAAAGTATCCTGAGGCCGGGAGGAGAATTAGGTAGGATATTTGCCTACACCAAAGATGCTGGCAGGCTCTGCTAGTTTCCTTCCATCCTTTCCCTCAGGCCGCAGTCCAGCAAAGGAATGCACTTTGAGAACTGGTGCTTTGCTGCAACCCAGAGTCTCCGGGAAATGCCCAAAGAATCTTAAGGACTTCTCCACTCTTCTGCACTGTCTCCTTGCAGGACAAATCACACACCTAGCAGAATGTATTTTGAGGCTTAAAACAGTGGCATCCTGGGCATTCCACTGAGCCAATCCACAATCCAGACAAGAGAGGGTCTGCAAGGTAGGCAAGAAGCAGAGACAGACAACTCTTAGGTCTAAGTGATGTCCATTCTAGTGCCCATTTCCCATCAAATCAGGGTTCCAGCAGAGGAGCCTTCAGCCAAGAGCTTCCAGGCTGACTTGCAAGACCTGAAGCCTGGCTCTCTGAGCCCCTTTAATAATACAGAAGGCCCCATGAATAATAGAGCAGCAACTGCTTCAGGGCAAAGCTAACCAATACCCAGCCCTTGCCCCCAAGCTGGCCCAGGGCCTAATCGCAGGACCCTAGGGCTTCCCACAGATTAACTCAGGCCCCTGCCAGTGGGGCTTGGGCATGCAAGTACTTTGCAGTACAGCCAAGCCATGGCTGGGTGTTCAGAAAACATTGATTTCCCTGCAGTCACCACTTGGATGGTTTTCTTCTTCCCTCCACAGCATCAGCACTGCCAGTGGCAATCCTAGGGCCCAGTGGTGGAAAGTGGAAAGGGGACCCAAATCAGCAAGGGCAGTACCTCTATCACAGAGTATAGGAGGCAGACCAGGCCTCCCCAAGATAACAGGCAGGTGTACAAAAAATACATAAACTGAAGATCTGAGTTGAGCCAACTGTATCACAGTGAGCAAATATAATGAGTGAAACTGTGTCCTCCAAAAAGATGTACATGAATCCTTGCTCCGGTTCCTATGAATGTGACCGTTTTTGGAAGGAATCAAGGTAAAGATCAAAGAATGAGGTCATCCTGGATTCTGAATGAGACCTAAGCTCAACAACTTGGGTTCTCATAAGAGAATGGAGGGTAAAAGACAAGGAGACTGAGGCAGAGACAAGAGCAAAGCTCTTCCAAACCAAAGAACACCACCAGCCACCAGAAGCTGGAAAAGACAAGGAAAGATTCTTCCCTAGAACCTTTAAGATGGCCATGCTGATGTCCTGATTTCAGACTTATGGTCTCCAGAACAGGGAGAGATCATTTTCTGTTGTGTTTAGCCACCAAATTCGTGGTGATTTGTTACAGGAGACCTAGGAAACTGCAAGTAACTTAATTCTCCAGGGTTCCATAAAATGGGGATGACTGCATTTGACATTCCTTCTTCATAAAGTGATTGAGAGAATTAGCAATAATACATGTTAAATGCTTTGTGAGTTAAAAGGGAGCCTTAAAGAGGCCAGAAATTATTATTATTATAGTAATACTGCTATTAATATGATTGTTTAGTGACTTCTCTGAGAGCTTTCAAAGTGGTCACAGCCAAGACTAAGAGAAGGAAAGTGCCAGGGTCAGCCCAAACTCATCTGAGTCTGAGTTAATATTTTACCAAGTTGATTAAATCTAAAAATTATATAAGAAGTAATTATCATTTTGCTTTAAAAAATGAAATATTCCAATCTATTTTAATCATGTCTGTTCTGTGCATGCAGAGTATTAAGGGAACCCGGTTTGAAATGTACAAATGATCCTTAGGGTATTTCCAGAGGGCTTCTACGCTGGGCTAAAGTCCTTTGGCACCTCTTGCATTGCAAAATGGTGACATGGGATTCAGAATCCAAGCTTCCTCTCTTCCTGATTTGTTCTTTACCTCTCCAATTCTTGCTCTGATTTTTAGACAGATAGTTCTAGTCTTATTGTCAAGAAAAAAAGAAAGAAATCTTGTCATGACCAAAAACTTTTGAGATTATTGTTCAATGCCAAGCCAGATTCCTTCACATGTATGCCATGGAAAGCATACTGGCTATTCCAGACCAAGTCTTGAGAGGTGTTCCCAGTTTGTTCAGTGAGAGAAATACCACCTGGATTGACAGGAATCGGTGAAACAGGTACCTGCCAAGACATCCTCCCCACAAAAGTAAATGAAAAAGCAAGGGATGGGTCTTGATATATGGCAAGGCTCTGAGATGGCTAACTTATTTTTTAAACCTATGATTCCATTCAGGAGAGCTGTCATCTTGTCTTCTAGAAGGAGAGGCAGAGTACTGTAGGGTGTGTTTCTGGGTTGGGTCAGGGAAAGAGCAGGGTCATTGGAAACAGTAGACCTGAATGATGATAATGCCAAACATCATAATGCTAATCCCCAGATTTACCATTTACCAGCCATGTGATTAAGGTCTAATTGTTTAATTTAGCCATGCCTCAAATCCTTCATTTGTAAAAATGGTTATAATGATGCTTCCCTGTGGGACTGTTCCAAAAATGAGACAGCTCCTTGTACACATTAGGTACTTAATATGTACCTCTCCCTTTTCCTGTCCTACTGGAAATGTAGTAGATATTGAGCCCTTCTAATGGGGAGTCTCAGCAGCATCAATTCTGATATCAAGAATGGATTGTCTAGTGGAGAAGAGCTGTTTGAAGGTGTAGCAGAGATCCTAAAAGGGGGAAGGAAATATGCTAAGAAAGTAACAAACACCTTATTTATCCTTCTGTTCCTGGAGATAGAAACCTCATACTTCTGGTTTATGACTTTCCTGACTGCCACTGCATGCTGAACTCTCTCTTCACCAAGGTCCAAATTCTTTCTTCCAGAAAATACCCAACCCATTCCCAAAGACCCCAGCCAACAAGCAGACCCTGGCAATTTGGATAGCTCATGGCAGATGGCACCATGTGGACTAATCAAGAGTCAGACAAGAAAATATTACCCTCTCTTCCATTTGCCAGGAACTGGGATTGTTTGGATTTTAATCATAGCCACAGCTAAAAGCCAATGCACAGCCCCTCCAGCCAGAAGATAAATTTTCCACTCTCAACATTCAATGCTTTCAACATAAAAGAAAAAAAAAAACTTCTACAGGGCAACTGCCCTTAGAGGGGGACTTTCTTATTCTTCAATATAATTTTTTCTTATTTAACAATATGACAGAAATAAAATACTCTATGGACATGATGGCATTCATGTGCTGACTCACACTGGAAGGAATGTCTTCATTTTTCCACAAGTTACATCTAGCTCACCGGTGTATGGATCCCAGGTAAAGATGAATGCAGAATCCCATGATCCTCTGGGAGAAATCTGACATTTTCTTTAAATATACATCCATAGAACAACTGTTTCTAAATCTCTACGAAACAGTTCACCAGGGTAGCACACCATTGATTTCACATCCAACGATTTCTTAAAAGAAACACTGAACTTTTTCTCAATAACTCAGCTACCAACAGATCCCAGAGATATCCCCTGAAGGGACACTGCCCCTGGCCTCCCTTGATGAAGGGGCAGCATCCCAGGAGAAGGAGATAAAAGCCAAGAAAGAGAGGTCCTTGGGGCCACCAATTGGTTCAAGAATAACTTAGGAAAGAACCAGCCATGCAATTTTGGAATGTCACTGTTAGAATAGATTCCTGCCTTGGGGAAAGATTAAAAATAGCTGGGAGTCAGTTGAACATAGTGGTCAATGTTTTCAATTTATGTAGTATCATTTAAGGATGTCCTTAAAGAAGATACTTAACTTTGATAAACATTTCAGTGTCTTTCAGGGTGAAGTGATAGTAATAATTCCTACCTTACAGAATTGTCATGAGGATTAAATTAAATAACACACATAATTTAACAGATTACCTGGAACACTGCCTGGCACAGAGGAAGAGCTCAGAAATCAGTGTGAGTAATAATTACAATGGTCATATTACTTTACTTCTAACATCTTTTCCACTTACAAAGATGTGGATGAATACAACACAGAAAGTGTAACAGTATGACATTTAGATTCCTGTACCACAGTCTATTTTTGGTATTTTATAAACCTTTTTCCCAACTTGTGTAGGAGTTTTTATTGGTGTCTACCTGGATCTCAGCCATAAGTGACTAAGAACTCTGATGGCAATGCCTGTTGTACTCATACCAGAGTAGAACCCTGGTGGGAGGGGCACAATCATAAGAATGGAAATCAACCCACAGCAGTATTATCCTAAAATCCCAACACTTTGAAAGAGACGCGCTTTGTCCATTCTATCCCTGGAGTGGCTTTTTGATGCATCCTATGGGCACTAGGTCCATGTGGAGAAGGACAGTACACGAAGTTGTCATGGGGTGATAGCTTTTGGGACCCTGGAATAAATATTCTCGTTCCTACCAGCTGGTCCAAACACAAAAGATCATGACTAAGGTCTTTCCAGGTGAAGTGAGCATACGTTGCAAGGCCAATAGCCTAGGCAGAGGTCCAAGGTCGTTGTTTCTTGATAAAGAAAACAATAAAGTAAGCTGCATTTGGTGAATCTGAATCAGAGCCACCAAATAAAAAGGAACACATGTGCAGCATCTCTGAAAGCCCGACTCCTTCACTTCATCCATGCCTCAATTCCTTTTCAATTTATTCCTTGATTTATTTCCTCAACATAATATGCTGTCCTTCATGCACAGAGATGACCAAATGACTCATACATCAACATGAGTTATTTTTTCCAGCAGTGGTCACGAATTCTATTCATCTAGGCAACATTTGTTTGCACAAAATGGCTGGCCAGGGTAGGGATGCATTCATTAGCCTTGGAATACAGCAAGGCTAAGCAGTTCCCATGAAGATTAAATCAATGTATCTCACCTCCCACCAGCTCCCAGAATGCCTACACTCAAGCCAAAATAGCTGACTGGAGGTCATCAGTGCTGAAAAAGACACAATCTAAAGCCCTCAGGCCTGGATTCAAGCACTGGCTCCACTAGTCCCTACCAATGCAATCATGGCTGAGTTTTGAATGCCTTTCTGGGGCTCGTTGTTCTCACCCATAAAATGCAGAGTATCTCCCATTACTCTTATGGTGATAAATCTAATGAGAGCATATCTCATAATCTATAAAGTTATATAGCATGGATATCACTTATAAATTGATGTATAGTCTTTACTATAAATATTAATACTGTTATATCTAATTACCTGCAAATCACAAAACTGAGCCCTGACAAGAGATGAGATTCTGTCTTCTGACATACAGTGTGCACAGAAAGAGCATCAGAAATCAAAGTACCCCCTCACTGAACATGGTACACTTGAGGTCATCCAACCCAAGCAGTCTCTCAGTGTGCATCCAGCCTTCAGGCAGCTTCAAGGCTCACCAGTTTTTGCCACCCAACCATTAACACCACTTTATCACCTGCTCAGCTGTCAAATCCAAACTTACAATTCCCGAAGACTCAGCGTCTGGAAGAGCTGCCACGAGAGCGTTGTGAGTCGGTTACTTGATAGGTTTCTGCAAGATTAACAAAAAAAAAAGGAGAGGTAAAGGACAGATCAAGCATCAATATTATTCTCCATAGTGAGCCTGGTCATTTCACTGAAACCTAGCTTTGTTGCTCTTCCCATTATTTTTTTTATTTATCATCTTTTGGTAGTTGAGGCCACAGATCAGGTTTTGAGAGAAGTCAAGTCTTTTTAGGGCACAGTCTTAAAAATCAAGGAAGCAATAAAATCCTCTTGGTTATTCCCTCATGATCTTGAACAAAAGTTCAAGGAGCCTTCTGAAGCTATCCCTCTCTAGCAGGACCGAGATAGCTGAGGGTACCTTAACATCTAAATATCCTTAACACTACATTGGGAAAAACTACAGTTCAACTACAACTCCTTCTAGCTAACCTTCCCTAGAAAATATGCACATTCATGAGATCAAGACATCAGCTTTTTATTCACATGTCTGTTTTCCTCCTAATGGCTATTTAATTGTTCTCATTAGGATGTACAGGGGAAAGGAGCAGCCGTCAGTCTCCCAAATACAAGAAGAAGCACACCCACGGTTATTACTTTGCCAGCCTCAACAAACAACTTTTGATGGGATGACAGCCCTTAAAGGCAGCAGTTAGTCATTGGCAGAAGTGACACCGAGGAAAAATGTTCTCATCTGTTGATGGGAATGGACATGGGTAGTAGCCTGACATTGTTTAGGTAAAAATCTTTCCACACACATCAGTGTGCATGTGCTTGTGTCTATTAAACAGGTAGGTAATAAATGCAAACACAGACTCTTGTTTATGCTCATGCATCTGCTTACACATGCACCTATATTTAGATGCCTTCTAGAGAAGATATTATTTGAGTGGAATCATAGGCTATGCTGAGGAGTGATGGGGCAGACCATGGAGGAGGAAGATAAGTTACAAGTGAGTAAGCAAGAAGAAAAGTACAAGGTGTGTACTACGTGAGTAACTGGTGTGGGAGGAAGTGACTTCAGATAGATGCTGAGGAAAGTGCCTTCTGAGAAGGTAATATGATACCTGAGACAAACTGGAGAACAAGCTGAGTGTCAGGGAGAAGCTTGGGCAGTGGAGGCAGTGAATGCAAAGGCCCAGGTGGAATCCAAGTCAAAAGGGGACTAGACAGGAGGGAGGACAGGCCAGTGCTTTGGGCTAAGTGGGAGAGGGATTTGTGCTGCACTCAGGGACTTGTGCTCCTGAAAGAAGACTGGGTTTTATTTTAAAGAGTGATGGGAAGGCATCGGGGGATTTTTAATGGGGAAGTGACATGATCTAATTACCATATTTTTAATTGAAAGGATAGCCAGAAGGTGGCAGGACAATTAGGTGGCTGCTACAGTGTTTCAAAGGGAAGGGTGGATGGATTAAAGATAAGTGTTGGAAATGAAGCTATCAGAACTGGATGAGATCTGGGAGAGGAGGGTAAGGAAATTAAGGCATCAAGTGAGTGGTAAAGCCACCTAATGAGATAATGAAGACTCCCAAAAGATCACACAGAAGTCATGAAGGAAACCAGTCTGTTGACTACACAGGACTGAAGTTCACCTAGAGAGAGTGTATACTCAGCTCATAACAAGAACAGATATTCGAATATAAGAGCAACCTATGGGGCTCCCTTGAGGGTATGTGAGGCTATGTGAGGGTATCCCCTTCACATACTCAACCTTCCCAGTCTGTCCATAGCAAGTTGGTTGGGTCCTACATTAGCGTGAACTGGTTAGGTTCTGGCTAGCCTATGATGACTCCAAGCACTCACCCACTTCTCCTCTGCAAGGCCAAACACCCTGGTGTGATAGATGCGCTCATTAAAGCTACAAACCTAAGCCACCCATCATGCTCTGCTTCCCACAAACCCTGGTGACCACATTCCTGTAAACTTCCTCACAATTCTCATTCCTGCAAAGTTCTGCTAATCCCCACTCATCAGAGAGAAAGGGTGATAGAAGCATTTACTGATGACCCATGAAGGACATCATTGGACAAGCTGTCTCCTACTTTAAGGGATTACACAGAGGGCCCAGCACACACCTCTCAGTCACTGCCCCTCCCTAGCTACTAGACTGGCAGCCCAGAACTTAAGGTCAAGGACAACAAACCACTCTCTGAATCTCTGTTGCCAGCAGCCTTTATGATGTGTAGAACAATGTGAGAGTTGAATCATCCAGGTAGCAATTATTTCCTCTATTATTTGATTTGCCAGTTATGTATAGCTGCATTATTGGACAAGCCCCAGATTTCCATATCTACAAAGGAATCCCAACAGAACTTGGGAAAGACAGCTTACCTCTGCCTTTAGTTCCCTTGAACAAAATCCCCTGGTCTAAAGATTTCCATATCTACAAAGGAACAGAACTTGGGAAAGACAGCTTACCTCTGCCTTTAGTTCCCTTGAACAAAATCCCCTGGTCTAAAGCTGAACAGCAGCATCCTATAGGGACTCCACAGCCCAAAACCCCAGGTGTAAGGGGTCCTGGGGCATAGCCCCTGGTAAGGCAAAAGCAATGGGAGGGGGTTGACAGGAGATGTCCAGGTGACACATATGAGGGAGGAGCAGCAGGGGGCCCCAGGCAGAGCCGGCTGCCAGCAATGTCCTCTCCCAAAGGTCATGCTTTGCTACATTAGGCAGAAATGTCAAGAGAAAATTGGATTCTGAAAGAAAGAAAATAACAAGCATTCTGGGCAAATAAAGAATAAGAAATAGCATCATCTCCTCCTTATTACAAGTTAAAGGAGGTGGAGGTAGGATACCTGGTAAAAGGGAGATGCTTTCCCCAGGGTGGCTTCATCTCCTACCCATCTCATCCTCCTTCCTCCCACCAAGCTCCACCTGAAGGAGAAAGGTTCCACAGATTCATTCAGCTCTTAGAATCCAAATGGAGTGGCCACTACTGTGCTCCGTCCTCTGCGCGCACATGCACACACACACACACACACACACACACACACACACACACACACTCTACTACTACTACTACTACTACTGAAAGAATTTAGGGAGGATTACAGTGTGTGCAACCTGTGCAACTGTACACAGTGCCTTGCCAGAGAAACAGAACAGCAACACCCAGCACCAGGAAGAAACTTGTACAGAAAGGACAAGAAGTAAGGCAAATATGCACCCCACAAAACTAGCAGGGTACACCTCTGGCCATTCTGCCCTTTTACACATTTACATATTTTCATGATGCAGGATAAATGGGGAAGCTGAGTCACAGGGCTTTAATAGACCCATTTGGAATTCACTGGCCCAATTTTCCTTCCTGCTGGTGCCTCACCTGCCTTCAGCTGTCACAGGTTATTGATGAACTGGTTACCTTGCTCATCAGACAAGCATTTAATTAAGAGGCATCCTGCCTCTGCATCCCATGGCAGCCTCCTGACCATTATCACCCATCTCTGACTTTAGCTTGGGTCACTAGCAAGTGACCACTGAATTAATTTGGTGAGCAAGATTTTATGAGATGATACATCAAACTCTCTCCCAAAATCAAGCTCCATGACATCGCCCCTCCATCTCTCATCTGAGACTCCCAAACAAAGCCATTAATTTTGTCCTGAACAAATGGCTCTCTCACAGCCAGACTCAGGGGTCCAGAGGTAATAAACGATGATGATGTGGCTATGGGATGCTCTGGGAACAAGGAGCCAGACATGCATATGGCCAAACTCCAGGCCTTAAGGAGTGATGAGGTTGCGACAGCACATCCTGCTTAATCCTGCTGTGAAAAGGGATCATCAGGCAACCTCCTTCAGACTGGGAGAAAGAAAGCTCTGTAGGGAGAACAGCCCCTTGATCTTCCTAAGGGACCACCTGACTACAGGTGGAGCACAGAGCACTATGATCAGCAAGATGTCACCCTTTATCCCAGAAGCCTATTGCCCTAAGGCAGGGTCAGTGAGATGTGCTCAGTTACCAAGAGAAACAATCCAGATGAGCTCTCCTCTTGCCCTAAACATATTATACCTTCTGGGGGATAAGAGATGAGGAGCCCCATCCACACAATGATCTGGAAGAGGCAAGGCTTTGTGGAGTTCCCAGGTTAAGAGTGGATCCAAAGGTGGAAGCACTTTCTTTATTGGCAGAGGCAGAACCTGTGGACAGGAATGTCTGAGGATACAAGTATGTAAGTTGTTGGGGGCAAGTGCCCAGCGCACCTGTCTGGTAGACCATCCATGTACTGCTCAGCCAGCATCCTACCTGTTCACATCAGCACTACTGGCCCTTTTAGCTGTCTCCACCCCCACTTCTGGATGCTCATATCACCTCTGCCTCTCCTTGGCCCCTGTGCTTGGGTTTTTCTTCTGTTGTCACTGTTTACAATGTGTCCTCCTCCAAAATTGATATGTTGAAATCCTAACCTCTGGTACCTTAGAATGTTACTGCCCTTGGAGATAGGGCACCACCTCTGCCTCTCCTTGGCCCCTGTGCTTGGGTTTTTCTTCTGTTGTCACTGTTTACAATGTCTCCTCCTAAATTGATATGTTGAAATCCTAACCTCTGGTACCTTAGAATGTTACTGCCCTTGGAGATAGGGCTTTTAAGGAGGTGATTAAGATCAAATGAGATCATTAGGATGGGCCATAGTACAATTTGACCACTGTCCTTTTCAGAAGAGGAAGTTTGGGCACAGAGGGAAGACCAGGGAGACACAGGAAGAAACAGCCATGTACAGGCCAAGAAGAGAAGCCTCAAAAGAACCAAACCTACCGACACCTTAACCTTGAACTTCTAATCTCCAGAACTGTGAAGAAATGAATATCTATTGTTGAACCCACTCAGTCTGTGGCAGTTATGGCAGCCAGACCAAATGAATATATCTATTCTCAGCCCTTCCTTTGCCCCGAGCCCTGACAGCCAGGCAGACTGCCCTACTGTGACCCCTGAAAGACAGCAGGCCATGGTTTCCTTTCATTCCCTTTCTGTCTGTGCATGGTAGCTCCAGTGAACAAGGCTTCCACTCAAGTTCCAGCTGCTAAGATCCAACCTGAACCTGTCTCCTGT